CAGGCTGCGGGTGGGTATCTGCTTCACTGTGGACCTCCATGGGCTGAAGAGGGACAGCCTGCCTCACCATGGTCTTCACCACAAGCTGCAGGGGAATTGCTGCTCCAGCACCTGGAGGACCTCCTCTCCCTCCTTCTTCACTGACCTTGGTGTCTGCAGCCTCTCACCTCTCACATATTCTCACTCCTCTTTCCGGCTGCATTTGCCAGCCGTTTTTTCCTCCTTCTTAAATATGTTATCCCAGAGGCACTACCACTGTCACTGATGGGCTCGGCCTCGGCCAGCGGTGGGTCCGTTTTGGAGCCGGCTGGCATTGGCTCTATCAGACATAGGGGAAGCTTCTAGCAGCTTCTCACAGAAACCACCCCTGTAGCCCCCCCGCTACCAAAACCTTGACACGCAAACCCAATACAGAGGGGAACATGCAGAGGTGTAGGGAAGGACAGAATGAAATGGACTTTGCTATCGCCCTCGTGGGATTCATCTTCACAATGACCATCACCTTCCCTTTCAAGGAGTGGTTGGAAGTCAGGACTGCCGCCTGCTGTAATGGTGGGAGAGACACCTCCGGCTATGAGCCAAGGTGCGCTTGGGCTAAAAATGCCCTACTGGATTCAGAAGTACCAAACTTCTCATGTGGGACTAGAGACACAGGTATTTCATCTGGGTGTTTCAGGAAAAGCAGATGACTAAGAAAAGCCCTAGGAACGTGGCACTGCGCAGACCTCATGAGTCACTGGCGTGATGGCGATCCTGGTGGAGGGAGAGAGGTCCAGGTCTGAGATGGAAACTCCAGGAGGAGGGTGGAAGGTGAACCTCTGCAGGAGGCTGGTGAAGAAGAGGAAGAGCTCCATTTTGGCAAGAGTCTCTCCAGCACAGGTCCTCCGCCCTGGAACAAAATGCAGAACAGCCGTAAGAAAGTCAGTGGGAGCTGCTTCTTGAGCTGTTGTCAGAGGAGAGGAAGGGAGAGGAGAAGAGAGGGGAGGACTGGAGAGGGGAGAGGAGAGGAGAGGAGAGGAGAGGAGAGGAGAGGAGAGGAGAGGAGAGGAGAGGAGAGGAGAGGAGAGGAGAGGAGAGGAGAGGAGAGGAGAGGAGAGGAGAGGAGAGGAGAGGAGAGGAGAGGAGAGGAGAGGAGAGGAGAGGAGACTTCTGGGAAGAGTCTGAGAGGTCAGCTGCAATGGGAAAGTAGTCTTAGATGTCCAGTTCCCCTCAGAGCCCTAAAAACAAAATGAAAGATACCTGCTGAAAAAGGCATGAAAGCGTCTTTCTTTACAAACTTCCCCTCAGAGTCCAGGAAATGCTCAGGGTAGAAGACGTCTGGTTTCTCCCACTGGGATTTGTCTTGCAGGACAGAGGCCAGTAAGGGGACAATGTAGGTTCCCTGCAAGCCAAGGCAGAGCAGTTATTGCACCGAGGATGGTGTTGCTGTCACCATCACAGCAATGGCGAGTGTTGGAGCTCAAAACACCCACTTTAATAGGGGAACTCCTGCCAAAGTAGCTTTGAGAACCCCAGTGTGAGCAGGCATCCTTGGATGCAAGCAGGACTTGAAAGGGAGATGTGTTGCACTGGGGATGGAGGGAAGAAAAGTAGTGCAGAAGTTGTCTCACCTTGGGAATGAAATAGCCTTTGAGGGTCACGTCTGCAGTAGTCTCATGCGGCAAGTTCAACGGCAGGATATTAGCAAACCTTTGAATTTCATGTACAACAGCATCCGTATATGGCATTTGAATTCGATGCTCGATTCGTGGGGGGTTTGACCCTATCACTCGCTCTATCTCTTCTTGGACCTTTTCTGTGAAAGGAATAGGGATCATACATAGACAGATCACTTGAATGTCTCTTTCTTCTGCTAGGAATAGGGGGATGTGGAGAATTCACTTTTTGTTCAGCCCTGCTCAATGTGAAGTCACATTTGAGGTGACCTGATGAGAAAGAAGCCACTGATTGCCTAGTTTCCACTTACTCTGAATTTCAGGATATTTCATCATGAGCAGAAGGCCCCAGCGCAAAGTGATGGATGTGGTCTCCACGCCAGCTACAAACAGATTTCTCACAACCCCAGTTAAGTTTTCATTATGGAAATATCCATTGGCCTTTCCATTCTCCTGGAGATATTAAACAATAATAATATCAGTCAATTAAAGATTCAAGAAGGCACTTTTTCATTGGAGAACAGGGAAAAACTTTCATACGCATCCCTCAGGGAGGGGTTAAGTGTAAAGGATAGGAAGGTTTTGAGGGGATGCCTTGAGAAACCTGTTCTAAGCTGAGTCTTGAGATAGAGTGTTTGGATTGCTCATGCTGCCCACAAGAACACACACTCAAGTCAACAAGGGTCTTCAGCTTGGATAATGTCAGTGATGACAAGAATATTTTGGAAAAGAGCGACCAGTCGCTGGGGCCACCCATGTCATTCAATTATTTGCTTCAGAGTTTTTCTGCCCATGGGTCCTGGAGCAGAGCATCTTGCAGGATGAGATTTGTTGGGAAGAGGAACAAATTTGCTGTCAGAGCTGGGTTTTGTCATGAACTCAAGAGGTACTGGGCACTTGGCCCATGATGATATTGCCTTTACCTGCCACTAGCATCAAAAGAGAGCCTAGAAGGGTGGTTCATGTTCCCCTGTAATCCAGCAGTGAACTCATGCTTTTGCTATAGCAGACTTGGGCTGAAACCTGACGAGGCCGTACCACATAGAGGTGAGGGCTGGGTACAAACACTGACACATTTTTACAAGAACTGTAAAACTAGAGTTTTGTTGAAGCAGGTAAATGAAATCTTGTGTGAGCTGGCAACTGAAACTGAGAAATATGTACTGAAGAGTCCTGGGCCTAGAGCTTTCCCTGGGTACATCTCTATGAAGGGGGATGTGATTTTTAAAAAAGAATCAGAAATGCTATGGTACAGAAAGGGATTTTAAACTAACAGCTTCTCATACTTTGCTTGCTGAAATAGTGTTTTGTATTTTCCTGATGAATTACTGGGGACACATAAAAGATGCTTGTCTGTGATCAATTTATCTCCTAGCTGAAATGACTGCAGAGTCTTTTAGCCTGACCACAGTTTTTGGTAGGATTTTCGCACATGCTAGACCTCTGCTGAAGAACATTTGTTTATCTACCAAGCTTTGAAAGGAAAGTGAGGAGACCTGAAGAAGCTGCTAGGACTCAATTACCTCTTGTTGTCTCATGAGGAAAGTGTCAATGAAGCTCCTCTGGTCGTTTCTGTCCAGGGCTTTGAGATGTTCTGTGAAAGTCACTTTGATAAAAGCATTGATTTCTTTTACATTCTGAATAAAAATTTTGTGGTCCTTCAGGAGGAATCCAAGGACTGGGAACATGTTGTACATCTGCAAGATGCAGAGATGGTGAGGAAGAAAAAACAGCTGCTAAGCAGATGTACCATAGTTCAACAAGAAGAAGCCCTTACAGAAAATGGTGTACAGCCTTATACTCAAGATGCAATATGTTCCTTTGTCCTCCTTTTTCCCTGGCCAACTGTGTAAAATGGTTAAAATTTATTCCCTCTTACACTGCATATTAATCACACTAGTTGATGATGGCCTAGAAATCCCATGTTTGTGCATATGTCCTTGACAGAATTTCCTACCTCTCCACTCCTAGAGAATTCATCCCTCCCTCTCCACACTGGTTGGAATTGGGAGTGTCAAGTTTAAGAGGCAGTTATAGGCATTCCCACACCGATTTTGACCTTGTTGTTTGTAATGGGAGATGGGGAATAATGATCAACTTCTATTGCTAGGGGACACAATCCCTGTATCATATTACATGTTGTTCAATTCTTCATGAAAGGAGGAACTTATAATTTCCCAGGCTATGCTGCTAAGAGAAATCCATAAATAGCGACAGAGGTCCACTTTCTGCCATTTCAGGGTGCATTTGTCATGTATAGATAAATGTGTTGCAATGATCAGCGTTGGAGAGGTGTACCTCTGTATACCACTGTATAATCATGCTTTTGAATAGCAATATTCAAACAGTATGAATTACCAAAACTGACGGAGTTCCAAAAATCCTGACATTTTCGTTCACCAATGACAGGAGCCTTTTGAATGTGGGGTCTTCATAGTCATATCGCTTTCCAAGCAATATGGACACGATGACATTACCAATAGCAGCATTCATCATCATAGTCATCTCAAGGGGCTTCCCTAGCATGGGAAAAGGTGGTGCAAACAACAAAGTCAGTAGTTATTCTAATTAATTAAAGTAACATGCAAAGTCTCAGTGAAGTCTGGGACACGATAGGCACAGAGCTGGCAGGAGGAAAGGCTCCCCCATCTCAGGGTTCTCATGTCCCTAACGGCATTTTGACAGACCAGAGACTGAATGCAAGTCTTTTGTGCTCCCCTGCATTTTCTCTAAGACTATTGCGGTCCTGGGTCTTTGTGGTCTTTCCCCAGGCTGCTCTGTTTGGGCATACATGATCTTAAAGTTTCCTGGTATAAGGGAAACTCAGCATTGCCACTTCCCCCATCGGTGCCATCCTGGGCTGTCCCGTATCACCACTATTCTTTGAGAGTTGGACTGTGTCCCTTTAGGCCCTCTAGGTCCAGTCTCCTAACTCAGTAGCTGTTGTTCACTCAATCTTTCCTGCAGGGGGTCTCACTTCTACAGCTTCTAGATCCCACAGGTGCATCCTCTTTGCAGCTGGATACAGCTTTCAGGGGTTCAAGGTGAGTACTTGAAGCCTGAACTAGAATGGTGATGTAGAAATCTGTTTTTATCCCAAGTCTGCTTGGTCGAAAGAGCTACCTACTGAAGTCCTGCTGTTGGTAACTGAGCCTAGTGAGAAATAATCTTGGATGATGCTGGTGAAATGTGTAACTGGATGTTCTGCCTCCTGTTGGAAGGGGTTTCACAGACATGTGACTTTAGGGACAATCAATTTTTTAGTATAGGTATGCAAGTCTTTGTGATAGCCTTCTACTCTCCCAGTGCCACTAAATCAATCAAAGGCACTGCACATGGAGGAACAAATTACTCTTCTCAGACGTGCTGTTTGATGTCTGACTCTATGTTTGACTTCCAGTGCCTCAGTGAATGCTTTTCATTTGCATGTCAGGCAATTGCCAGGTAGAGAGACAGAGACAGACAGCTCATATAAACTCCTCGGAGCATGGATGCTGGAGAAAGGTGGATCTCTGAAAGAGTTCAGAGACTTTTCTTTCTTGACCCTTGGCATTTTTGTAGCAGGCTTGAGGAAAATAAGTGTTATGAAGGTAAGATTCCCCCCACCTTTCTGTGCCTCAATGGTGTCTGCCAGGCATCCATACTCTTCTACAACACGATCCTCTATGGCCTTCTTGCCCATTCCAAAGTCTCGTAAGGTTGTAAGAGTAAATCTTCGCATCACTTTCCAGTTTTCTCCATCAGAAAATATAACTCCTGAAATGGAAAATGAAAACACAGAAATAAAAATTTCATCATGAGAGCAAAGATTCCTCATCTGCCCTGAATCCTGGTAAAGATGAGTGCTGGCAGGAAACCTGTCAAGCTCTCAAGACATGTTGTGTCCCCACATAGAATGAAATAAGACAGGAAAGATATGTCAAGAGAAAGGTCTGAGGGAAGCAGCTGCCGTTCTGAGTTCATGAGGTGTCTGATGTGCCCTGAGACATGAGGGCTTTTGTTCAGCCTTGTTTAGAACAGGGTGTTGGAATTGTGCCTCTGGGACACCACCTGGGATGATGAATGAGCTCATTAACCTTAGACGTCTCCCTTAGGTGAGATGCATCCTCTCTCAAGAGCGCCTGTGTACTTATGTAGATTATAGAGAGTAAATGAAACCTCAAATATGGGCATCTGTTTGGAAAATCTCCCTACTTGGTGGGGGTAATCTCACCCCCCTACACACTAGAAAAGCTGCAGAGAATTCTCAGTGGCATCTGCAGAGAAGTTTTGGTCAAGCTGGTGCTGCTATTTACTCTCCTTGCACCTATCATGCTCTCTTATTCTTGCTTAGAGTCTTGTTCAAGAAACTGTCCCTAGTGAGGAAAGAAATCATTTGCAGATAGGTCAGTATTTAACAATACATTGGTTACTCAGAGCTGGTCACAAGATACAAATGTGCTCACTCTTGCTTTCCTGTCAGGAGATGACAGTCTCTCATGTCGCTATTTCCATGTTTCCCATCAATATTTATGGGAATCAAAAGATCAGGTTCAGGGTCTAACACCTGTGGGGGGGTGAAATCTGCACCAGAAGAACTCAGAGCAAGAGTGAGCTTCCTCTGGGGAAGCAAACTAAAGGCTTGGGTTATTGTTTATTCTCTCTTTAAGAGAGATTTATTCTCAAATATAAATTGAACAGGAAAATTTAAAATAAGCATTCAATAATATCAATCTCACAAGGACTATTTGGAGATAGTGCTGATGATGCAGTAGACGCTTCTCTGCCAGCTTGTATTGGGTTTATGTGGCAAGGTTTTGGTAGCTGGGCAGCTGCAAGGGTGGCCTTTGTGAGAAGACAACAGGAGACGGCCCCATGTCACCTCCTCACCGTGTCACCTCTAAGGGAAGACTCAGCTGCAGATTCAGACCTCTAAATTATATGTTTATGTGTAAATTAAGAATATTGTCTCTCCTTATCTCCGATGAATATCACCACACATTGTTCAGTTTCCCCCTCATTTCCATTGCCTCACATGCTTTGTAAAACAAAGTGAGACGTTCTGCATTCTCCTCTCCATGGAGGAAGTCTCATTCTTCTTTGCAGAAGGCAGGTGTATGGGGAACAGAACAGCACACTCACCTTTTCCTTTTCCTGCTTCTTCAACAACTCGTATTTTAGGTCTCCCTGCAAATGCATCCGCCTGGTTCACCAGAGCTTCCTTCACTGCGTCATATCCTGCTAGCACCACCATCTTCCTTAGTCCCATCTGAATGCTGAAGACTGGGCCATATGTTTTGGATAGCTAGTCAGATGAAAGGGGACAATAAAAGAAGATGATTTTCAGCAAGCTCAAAATACTTGTTTCTCAGCAGGTTTACTTTCCTGCATGGCATTGGCTTTTCATTCACTGTCCAAAAAGTGGAGGATTTGTCATACAAATGTTGGAGCTCTTGTGAGGAAAAGAATCACAATGGGGTCTGTAATCCTCTGTTAGGTATTTGAGTAACAGACTTTTAGAGGGGCTAAAGGAAAGGCTGAAGAGCAGACAGGCTTGGCCCTGTGTTCCTTTGAAGAGACAAACGGAAAGTGAATTTCTCAGTAAACATGGCAAAACCTGTTCAGTTCCCAGTATACAAATCTGGGGAATTACAAATCAGCTGGAATAATGAGTAACAACTCTTAAATAGTCTGGAGTTATGCCTTTAGGTGCAGCTGGAGTTACTGCCTTTAGTCACAAAGTGGAAGAGCTGCAGCCACAACCAGGCAGGAATAGACTGCATGGCTCACATGGGAATGAAATTGAGGAAAGCAGGTTAAGAATTGCTTCATTTTGAGTTATGAGGTAACTGCATCCACTACACGGATTCTGCAGGTAACTTTTGATTGAGAAGCTGAGAACTCATAGGGGATATGTTGGAAATGTTCCCCAACCCAGAAGCAGACAGTTTTCAAGGTGGTGGTACATCAGGGCACAGGAACTGTCTGAAACTCTTAGGTTTGCTGTTCATGGCTTTGAGGAGTAGAGCAGTGAGAGGGCCCCAAAAATCATACACTATCTGTCACACACCATCTTCCCTGAAGTCCTGGAGTTTACTGCCACCAGATGTGAAAGAATAAGCAGTGTTTGTTTGTTTCCTACTTTGCTTTGGGAAACCAGGAAAGTTCCTCCTTCATGGCGAGGATGAAGGGAGAGAACCAAGAAGCTGTTTTCTGTCAGTTCCCTGATGGCTGAATCCACCAAACAGCCTCCAGAAAATTCTGGTCTCCTCCTAAATGTTTCAGCAGCCCCTGGTGGAAGTTCCTGTAGGAACTGTAGGGCCCCTTTCTTCTAGTTACCCTTGTCTGGAGAACCCCAGCATTTCCTGTGTTCCACAGAAATAGGTCAATTCTCTTGATGTGGCTGGAAGTCAATCCCCCTGCACTGACACAATATCATGTGATAGGAAGAGCAGTTGCTGCAGATAATTAATTCTGCTGCATTTGAACCTACCTCTCCAGAGAAAAAATTGTACCCCTTTTGGGGGGGTCAGTGACTGCCTTAGACAGAGAGCTCTAAGAAAAGGAACAACAGAATTTACCTCTAGCATTGTCAGGTAAGGTCTCTTCAGATCCATGATGTGCAGATTTCCAATGATGGGTAAAGGCGTGGGTCCCGGGGGGAAGTTTTCTCTTGCGTGGCTCTTACAGACATGTTGTCTTTTCAGAATCATCAGGAGAATGAGTATGAACAATAACCCTACAGGAACAAGAGTGACCCAATCCATTGTCTTTCAGCAAAGGCTTAGCTGAGAAGATGAAAATTCAGGCAAAGAGTGCAATCTCCTGTCAGAAGTTAAGAGTTTCAAGCATTAATGGCACTTCTACACATACAGAGATATGAACTTCACCTCTAAGAAATGGTAGAAGTGCCCATCTGGGGTATTACCCTTGGAGAATCCCTACTAGGCACTCTCACCACCGTGTGCGCTCACTTTACCCTACGCTGGTTACTGTTTAATGGGTGATGTCTAAATTAGTCCTGTGTGTTGGCAGAGATTTCTGTGGGCATAAGTCCAATTAGAAACGGCAACTTAAACACTGCCTTAAACTTTGAGACTGGGAGGAGGTGGGAGAAGAAGGAAGAGGTTCTACTGGTTGCTCAGGTTTTCCCTTCTCTCTTTATGGAAGATCTTGGGGATGCCAGGTCTTGACAAGAGCAGAAGCTCAGCTGACTAGGGATCTGAGACAGTTGTGAAGATTCCTCTTGAGTAACCTCAATGTGGATTTATGGCCTTGATGCACTGTGGGTCCTATAGTGGAAAGCTGCATTGATCAGAAGTACTCAGGAGAGGAAGAACTCAGTGCCAAGCTCCTCTGAGCTAGCTGAATAATTTGTTGTGGCACACACATCTTTGTTCTAGCAGCAGTTCAAGCAGAGTGAGATGTGGGGTCAGACTGATCTGGCCAAATGGTGAGGTGTGTATTGATCTGATAGCCTCAGCTTCCTTTAAAGTGAATAGAGGGCAAGGGGCACCTTGTCTTCCAAATCCAGAAACTCAAACTGGTCAGATAATCCATGCCTTACATGTTCCTGATTTTCACATAATGGTTGAGGCTGGAAGGGAACTCTGGAGGTCATCTGGTCCAACACTGCTGCTCAAGCAGGGCAACCTAGAGCCAGTTGTACAGTAGGGCCTGTGTCTTCAGCTGTGGCAATTGCCTTTGACATCCAGCTGTAACCATTTCAGGAGGAGAGGTGGAGAGAAGAGCTTGTATGATTATCTCTGAATGGGGAGCCAAAGCTGAGCGGAGAATTGAGAAAAGATGGCCTCTGTTGGTTGAGGAAATAAGGCTGAGGTACAGTCTGACTTGTGTATCTTAGAGTCTAAGAAAGTGAGCAGCAGAGAAGGAGGTGTTAAAAGAAGCCATGGAGAAGAAACCATTCAGGGCTTTCACTGAGACTGACCAGAGAATATGAACCGCAGCCTTCAAAACAGTGTTTGGAAGAGCTTTCTAGTAGAAATGTAGAGAACTAAGTTGTACATGACCTTGAAGCAAGAACGTGAAGGCTGTGTGAGGTGAGGTGCCCGGGCTGACCCCCTTGTCCTTGACTCTTTAAAGCATCAGGATCCCTGCAGAGACGTGACCAAAGGCATAGGAAAGGAGTCAGCCCCCCAGGGGATGGGGGTGCAGAGACCTAGAGGAAAAGAGCATGGGCACCTGGCCGGGAGCCTGGAAGAGGAGCTAAAGCAAGCCTGCTCTTGTACCGGCTTGCCCCGAGTCTGCTGCTGCCCCCGGGGTCTCTGAAGGAAAGACCAGGACATTTCACCTACCTAGAAGGCATCCTGGAAAAAGTCCAGGGCCTATGTCCAGCTGTGTGCCAGTTGGCCTGTTTCTACTCCACCTCCCCAAAGGAGGTAAAAAGGCACCGAGAATGTCATTCTTTCCACATATATCTGGGATTTAACTATTAGCAAAGAATGAGTCAGATGCTGACTCTTGAGATGTGAAAGGAAGCAGCAGTTCTGAGTTGTTTCCCAAGAGATGGGCCCAGGGTTAGGTCTGTGCAGAGTTTCAGAACAAGCACAGCGTTCACCTGCCTGTACAAGACTCTCCGGGTTATTGGAAGGACACTGTGGGAACTGGCGGTGTCTCTTGAAATGCAGTGGGAGAAGGAGGCAACCCCTCTCACCCCGTTGCCCTTGCCTGCTCAGTCCCGCTGATTTCCTCCAGTAGGTCTCTGGTTCCTGCAGTGTTGGCAGGTAGTGAGTGAGATGAGCAGGGTGAGATTGTCACAGACATGAGTGACAGGCTGTGAGTGTTTCTTCCCTGCTTGGGAACATTTCCCCTTGGCCTCATTTTGAAGTGGAGATTCAAGATCCTGCTTTGGGCCAATATTTGTGGCTCCTCCAAGGTCTGACAGATAATGTCTCTAGACACACGTCTTGAACCAGATGAGTTGTTTCTAAAGTGTTTGTTAAGTTTATGATAGTCAAATACTTCGCTGCTCTATGGTGTTTTACATGATGCATGAGGAGAACTTGGCCAGGTTCTGTTAGGAACAGGAGAATATTCTTGTGGTGCTCAGTCACCTCAGTGAGCAAGACTCGGTAGAGCAACAGTCATTCTTTTCACTGTCCCAGTTCTCCTCACCTAACATGAACTCAAGAAAAAAATACCCCAAACGGATGCAGACGTAGGGGTCATTGGCCAAACTTGCTGGAAAACTGGGGGGTCTGGTCACATTAGCTATGTGTCGTGGTTTAACCTCAGTCAGCAACTGAGCACCGCACAGCCGCTCACTCATTCC